TGTCTGTGTGTGTGTGCGCGCATGTATGTGTCTGTGTGCGTGTGTGTATGTGTCTGTGTGCGTGTGTGTCTGTGTGTGTGTGTGTGAGAGAGAGAGAGAGAGAGACCATTCAAATGAGCCTCAGTCCTGCCACCAGGCACTGCTGTCACTCTTGGCTCCTCTCCTTTTCTGTTTTTTATTTTATTTTTATTTTTTTGAGACAGAGGCTCACTCTGCGCCCCAGGCTGGAGGGCAGTGGCATGATGATGGCTCAATGCAGCCTCCACCTCCTGGGCTCAAGTGATCCTCCCACGTCAGCCTCCTGAGTACCTGGGACTATAGGCACATGCCACCCTGCCAGGCTTATTTTTTTATTTTGATTTTTTTGTACAGATGGGGTCTCACTTTGTTGACCTGGCTGGTCTCAAACTCCTGGGCTCAAGCAATCCTCTTGCCTTGGCCTCCCGAAGTGCTGGGATTACAAGTGTGTGGCGCCGTGCCTGGCCTCCCTCTCCTCTTCTGAGGCACAGAATGCTTAAGTCCATCCAGCATTGGCAGGCTGCAGCTTCTGATATAGCCATAGGCAGGGCTGGGCCTGGAAGCTGTGGCCACAGGCCAATAGGTACAGGTGCCGGCCCAGCGCTGTGCACCCACCAGGGCCTCGCTCAGGGGCACCTGTTCCTCCCTGGAGGTCTGGAAATTGCACGTGTTATCTGAATGTCCCTGGAGTCACAACTGCCAGCAGACACCCGTGTGCCCTCCTTTGCCCTGATGCTCCTTACCCTTGAGGAGAAAGTTCTAGATCCAGCTTTACCTGGAAAGGGCTCAGTTGTTTTGGCCTATGTCTCTCCCTTCCTCCCACCTGCCCCAACCTGGCCAACCCTGCCAACCCCTTCCCTGGAGGCTCGTCTTGGCTTCCCCTCCCCCAGAAACCCTCTGGGCACCCTAGCCGGTCCCTGCTTCTGGGAGGTGCAGTTCCCACTTGCCACGGGACAGACACTGTGGGTGTGGAATTTCGCACGGGCCAGGCCGCCTGCTCCTCTGTTCCTCCCGTGCTCTGTGCAGGGAGCAGTATAGGTCTGTGCCCCCAGGGCTGGCACTTCTGAGGGCAGGGACTGTTCCAGTTCAGCTCTGTCCCCTACTCCTTCCTCCTGGGCACCATCTGGCCCAAGGTCTGGCCCAGGAAGCATCGGCCAATACCTTTGTTCTGCATCTTACGGTCAGGGCGTTCCTCACTGTGAACCGTCTTCCCCTCAGACAGAGTTCCTGAGTATGGGGGTGGCATCTTCTTTCACCTGAGGACGCTGCCCCTGGGCTGAGGCTGCCTTGGGGTCCCTGATATAGAGGAGAACACACATAGGAGATGCCTGTCCGTCTGTCTGCCTGTATGTCTCTCTGTCTGCCTATTCCTACGTCCCTGTGTGGGAAAGATGGTCAGGAGGAGCTGTCGACCTGAGCGGGGTCTTTGGCTGCACCCATGCTAGGGAGATCCAGACCCATGACAAGCTCCCCGAGACCACTCTGGACCTGAGGTGGGGGGTATCGGGGCCAGGAGAGGGAGTGGGGATGGCTTCTAGCAGCCCCTCCCACTGAGCGGCCCAGCTCGGAGCTGTGCTGGCATTGCTGGGGTGAAGGGTCATTTGTTTCTCTAAATTGGTAGAGGAAGAGTTGGGATATTCCCCTTCTCTTTAATCCTGACTTCACATTTTAAATAAATGTGGGGCTGGGTGCGGTGGCTCACACCTGTAACCCCAGCACTTTGGGAGACCAAGGTGAGCAGATCGCTTGAGCTCGGGAGTCCAAGACCAACCTGGGCAACGTGGCAAGACCCTGTCTCAATTAAAAAACAAAAAGTAAAAATAAATCAATGTGGTCGTGAAGGTGGATGGAAGGAGGGTCTTCAGGAGGAGGTGGGCTGGGCCTTGGAGGACACAGATAGAGCTCTGGGGCCTTGGGGAAGGGCCCCTGGCGGCTGCCTGGAAGCCCCTCAGGTGGGTTTACCTTGCCTCAATCTTTGGTCCCGTAGCTGATAAGGCCACCATTTCCAAATGACATCTGGGGGCTGATGTCATTTAAATCTCCTAACAGTGGGGTGAGGATTATGATGCGCGTTTTTCAGATGAGAAAAGCGAGGCTCAGTGAAGTTAACTTGCTTCAGGTCCTAGATTAGCAAGTGGTAACACTGCACCAGATTTGTGTCGTTCCAAAGCCCGTGTTCTAACCTCTACTAAATTTTCACCTGTGGCTGGAGCTGATGTACTTTGTGTGTGAGGGACAGAGAGAGAATTCTGGGAGTGGGCATGCATGCATGATTCTTAGGAACAGTAGTAGGAAGCGGGGTGGCAGGTAGGTAGGCTCACACTCTCCAAGGAATGCAGGCAGACACACACACAACAGCCATGCAGACACAGGGACAGATGCTCGTGTAACACTAGACACCTCTACGCAGGAATGTAGACATCCATTTAGATTTTCCCACAGACACAAGGATACCCAGATACTGATTTGTAGAGCTGATGTGCAGATGGTTCTAGAACTGGGACAGCTGAGCCCCCCAGGACTGGGGTCCCCATGAGGAGCCAGGGGCAGGCCTCTGGCCTCTTGCCCAGCTGGCCAGCAGCAGGTAGAAGGGTTGCTAGTTCCAAGAGAGCAGGCAATGGAGAGAGGAGGAGACTGAGGTCCCCCACCCTGAACTTTTCTGCAGAGGAAACGCCTTCCTGAAACATCGCTGAGGCTCCGTTTCCTTAGCCGTAAGGTGGGGAGTCATTATATCTACTTTGCTAGGCTTGGTTAGGATGACTTTAGCTAATGTCTGAAAAGCAGCTAGCAGACTGCCTGGCACGCTGTACTCACCAAGCAAATCATTTTTATTCATTTACTTGTTTGTCAAACACTTCCTGGCCCTCTTCTGTGTGGGAGCTTTGTGCTGGACCCAGAAAATGCAGAGAAGCGTAGGGCAAGGACCCGCCTCAAGGACGCTGCTTCTGAGCCTTTCCCTGTTCCGGGGTCATCATGCCCATCTGCTCTGACTCTCAGGAACCTACGTGGCCTCTAGCACATCTGACTTGTGGTCCTCTCCCCCAGGAGGCTTTGTGACAGTCTTTGGCATCTGTATTCCCTTCCTCTTGAAGTTTGCAGGTGATAGAGATTGGGCAGTGGGAGGAGCCTTAAAATTCACCAGTTCCAAGCTTCCGTCCATGACAGGTCTTACCCTACCTGGTCAGGCTCCATTTCCCCTATTCCCGTCCCCCTTTAATCACTGGCCCCAGCCACATGGGTTTCTTTCTGCCCCTTGGACACGCTAAGCTCATGTAGGAATTTCTTTACCCTTGCAGTTCTTTCATCCAAGAAGGCTCTTATCCATGGATTCTGCACGGTCCATCCCACACTTGTGTGCATGAGCAGATGTGCATACACACAGACACACACACACACACACACAGACACACAGACACACAGACACACAGACACACACACACACACACACACACGCTTAGCATGTCTGGGTTTTCTGATTATTCAGGCCTCTGCTCGCCTGACACCCTTCCCACAAAGGTCTTTCCCTCTAACCCCTCCTGAGACACTGCCCATTGCTCTTCTCCTTGTTGGAAATATGACCCTTGTTGTTTTCCAAAAAATCTGCATGCTGGAGGAAGAGCTGCAGCGAACAGTTCCCATGTTCCATCTTAACATATCTGTTTTTACAGGTTCTTTTTATACAAGTGTGTATAACTGAGGTTCCCCGCACCCTAGCACCTTTCCAGAAGTTTGTTGGGCAGCCCCTGCTGGTGGGGGGAAGACCTTGTATACAGTATACATTTAAAAACCAAGGTGGGGCCGGGCACGGTGGCTCACACCTGTAATCCCAGCACTTTGGGAAGCCGAGGCGGGTGGATCACCTGAGGTCAGGAGTTCAAGACCAGCCTGGCCAACATGGTAAACCCTGTCTCTACTAAAAATGCAAAAATTAGCCGGGCGTGGTGGCAGGCACCTGTAATCCCAGCTACTCGGGAGGCTGAGGCAGGAGAATCTCTCGAACCCGGGAGGTGGAGGGTGCAGTGAGCCGAGATCGCACCATTGCATTCCAGCCTGGCCAACAATCGCAAAACTCTGTTTCAAAAACAAAATAAAACAAAACGCCAAGGCGGGTATGCATTTTGAAAGCAAGTAGAATAATAGTAAACAAGATAAAATATGCATTTGAAAAGAAATCTAAATGTATATTTTAACCACAAAAGAGAGTCACAATAATAAGCGGGAGACATCGCGTTAGTTCAGCATTTATAACTACAATAGGTGACAAAGTTCTTTTGATGTCCGAGGCTCAGTTTCCCCACCGTTTTCCCTGCGCGGATGTAGAGATCCCCACGCTCAAGCCTGTCTATTCTTTAGGCTGTAATTACCACATAAGAGACACTTGAGGAAGGAGGACGTAGTGTAGGAAGGGAGAGGTTTTAGGTTGAAATTATCTGGTTTGTTTATTTGACCCAGGCTGGCTTTTCCTTCCCCGCCTGCAGAATGTAAACTTTGTGAGCGTCCAATCCTGTCCTTTCATTCCCCACAGTGTTCCCGTACCCAACACAGTGTCTGTGGAACGAGAGGCCCCCTTTGATGCCCACCAGCCCCTTCCTTTTCTGCTCACCTGTAGCTGGGAGAACTTGCTCCTTCAAATGGAGCTAACTGGTCTCCCTGTAGCTTTTCCCTCTGCCCCAGACCTCCCCCTGGACCCCTGCACACGTCATCAGAGAGAATGCCTGTCTTTGTTCTCAGATGGATCCAAATTGTGCATGTTTAAGGCCACGGCATAGAGGAGCCTCTCCCTGGGCTCTTGCTGTTCAAACTCAGGAACCAAATGGATCCAGATAAATCCTCAGTTGACTCCGTTACTACTTAAACTCTTGCTTCTTACTATCTAAAACTCAGGAGCTGAACAGGTGAGGATAATAGGACTTTCCTGACTATCCAAATTCTTTCTTCTTAGGAACGGAAAAGATTTGGATAGCAAGGGAGGTTTGTATATTAATATAGCATGTTCACATAGTATGCAAATATAGTAGATATGATAGATTTTATACCTTTAGTATCTGTTGATTGAGAAAATATACCGTTAATATAATTCAGGAGTAATTTTAAGTGATTGTAGTTCTTGAATCACGGAAATTTTTACATACATTTGCTTTATATCTAAGTATTTTGTGTGTGCTATTTTAAATGGCATTGTCGTTTTCAAATTTCAGTTCATTTCTTGTATCTAGGAATGCAATTGACTTTTGCATGTCGATCTTGTATCCTACAATCCTGCTATACTCAGTTGTTGGTTCTGGTGGTTTTTATTAACATAGATTTTGTAGGCTTTTTGTTTTCTGCATAGACAACAATCATGTCATCTGCGAATAAAGACAATTTTATTTCTTCCTTTCCAATCTATATCCCTTTCATATCTTTTTTCTTGTCTTATTGCAATAGCTAGAATGTCCTCCACATGCATTTGGAAAATAGTCCCGTATCCATGTTAGGAACACACAGTTGTGGTACATCTGGACTCTTGCAGTAAATCCAGGGCCCGAGGGTGGGACATCGGCTCACACTCGTGGAGGCAGAGATTCAGAAGCTTAGGGAATCAGCCTTGTACCTAGAGGTGACCACTGAGTTGGTGCTCACTATAACCTCTGTCCTTTTGATGTCTCAGAATGTGCTTCTCACTGGGCTCCAAGCCATGAAGCACAAACTGGGTGTGTGTTTGGAAGTTTGTGGTGGGCCAGGCAGGAATGACAGGCAGGAGGGCTGTGTCCCTGGACGGCCTGGGCTGGCCCTCTCCCTTCAGGAACAGTTTATGCTCTGGAGTCTGGACTCAGGGCAAGGAGCAGTGCCAGCATCCTGCAGGGTAGGGGGTGTGGTGAACTGGGACTGTAGCAGGTATGTCTAAGGACTGCACCATCAGG